AAGACAACTCTAAAACTATGAGTTCTATAGTTATGAAACATAGCTCGTTCGAAAGGTCTCTTCGAGCTGGATCTAATAGTAAAGTCTAAATCTATCTGTGACTACTAAGTTATTTGTAAAAGCAATATAATGAAATAAAGTACATTCAAAAACTAACTATTTATAAAAATAATAAAAATAATTAATAAAATAATAAGATAGAATAATTGAAACTCATTTTATAACATCATAATAAATACTCTATTTAATTAGCACAGCCAAAAATCAGTATTTACATATTACAGTATTAGTAGTCAAATTTTGAGATATTTTATAAATATGCTATAATAATTTTACTAATAGCTATCAGCTACTTGTATATAAGAAGATAGAAGAAAAGAAGTGATATACTCTATCACTATACTGATTAAAAATATTCTTTTCTATTTCCTATTGTATAATTCACATTATATGATTTTTTGTCCTGCTCAAGCTTGTTTATTACTAGTTTACTAATATTCGTAACAATCAAATTTTCAATAATTATATGTTATACTTAAAAAAAAATACTTGCATAATACAAGATGATAATAATAAATGGTTAAATAACATATCGCTTAAAATTATTATGATTAACCATAATAGGATAAATAACAAATTTATAGTTTTACAATAATCATGATCATTTTGTTACTTTGTTAATTAGTTCTAAGAAAGTAAAGTAATGAAATGCTACGTATAAGATAATTGAGAATCAATACGTATAATAAATAGTTAAATAAGGTATGTATTAGACTCAGCTAATACTTAAAATTATTATTGATATGACTAACTATAATAGGATAAATAACTATGTAATTGTATAGTTTTACAATAATCTTGCAATAATTGTAATTGTTTTGCTACTTCGTTAATAAGTTCTAAGAAAGTAAAGTAATGAAATGCTATAATATGATTGAGAATCAAGTAATAAAATTAAAATAATTGGGAAAAAGTAAAATGAAAATACCTTTTATAGTTATTTTATGATAAAATGATTAGATTTTTTAATTATAAAAGAGTAAGTATTCAGTTACATATAGATATTATAATTCATAAATTATAAAAAATAGAGAACCTCACAAATTTTAATAATATTTCATATTGATTAAAAATCCTAATAATGCTACAAATACACTTGCAGTTTGTAACTGGTATATAAGAAAGCATAGTACCTTAGGAGCAGCTCAAGTTAAACCAGAATATGTTACTTCAAATCGAGCAAATTTATGTCGAAATTATTTATTAAAGTGTTCAAATTTTAAAGAATATGCAACTCCTAAACAAGTAGAACATATTTTAAGTTTACCTGTTCCTAAAGATAACAAAAAACAAAAAAAAAGAAAAAATAATAGTAATTTATTTAAAAATAAATATATCGTATGATAAAAGTTTATTAATAATTATAAATAATTATTAGATGATAATTCAGATATAGACATTAGCAAAGCGAATCGAGGCACTCTCCCCGTAGATCATTTGGACCATTTTCGGAGCTAAAGAAAAAGTGAATTTTTTACAGAAATCTTACTACAAACAAGCTTTAGAGCCACTAGGAAAAAAGAAAGAAGACACAAAAATACAGAAAGTATATTAAGAAGAAAAAGAAAAATAGTAACAACCCGAGGAACTTCAGAAGGTGTTCACTCAAAAAGTCAATACGAAAAACTTTTTTTTCAAATGTTGAGAATTTGGCCTAACTCTGAAGCGCAGATCAGTTTATATAACACAAACATGTGTAAAAACAGGAAAACAAACAAGCGTGTAAGCAAATACTAACAAGACGTGTTACGTGACAACTAATAAAAAGGCAGCGCGTAAGTCTTAAACCAGAAAATTAACAGGCAAAAAGGAAAATCTACAGGGAATTTAGAAAAAAGCACAAGGTCTTAAAAGCAAACATAGTCTGAAGCCCTAGAACAAAAGATAATATCAGGAAAAATGTGGAGTACAGAAAGCTCTAGATACTTTATTCAAAAGTTAACAAAAGAATATGGGCGAGAAATTATC